AAGGCTTGATCCAAAAGTAAAAGCTTTGCCACATGTCTCACATTTGTAGGGCTTCTCTCCTGTATGAATTCTCTGGTGTTTGGTAAAGGTTGAATGATCCTTAAAAGCTTTGCTACATTCCTGACATTTGTAGGGCTTCTCTCCTGCATGAATTCTCTGGTGTTTAATAAGATATACTTTTTGAGTAAAACATTTCCCACATTTTTCACATCTGTGCGGCTTCTCTCCTGTATGAATACTTTGGTGTTGAGTTAGGACTGAAAAATTCTTAAAAACTTTTTCACATTCCTTACATTTGTAGGTTTCCTCATTGCTATGCCAACTCAGGTGTTTAGAAAGGGTTGAGCAATTATTAAAGGATTTGCCACATTCTTCACATTTGTAGGGTTTCTCTCCACTATGAGTTCTGTGGTGTTTAACAGGGGGAGGTTCTAGATTAAAAGTTGTGCCACATTCTTTAAATTTGTAGTGTTGATCACTGCTATGGTACTTGTGTTTAGAAAGGGGTGAGCAACTCGATGCTTGGACACACTCCTTAAATTTGGGGGGCTCCCTTCCAGGATAAGCTCCACTGTATTGAGGAAGGCTAACCGCTGGGTTAGAAGCTCTCTCACATTCCTCACATTTGCAAGGCACCTCTTGGCCCTGAGTACTTGGATGGGTCATCAGCTTTGAGCACTGAGGAAAGGCGTCCCCACATTCCTCATCTCTGTAAGAGTTCTGTGCACAATGGCCACACTGATGTTCTGTCATATTGCAACCAGAGCTGGAGTTCTTCTCTGTTTTGCTACATTTGTAATTGTTTTCTCCAATATAAGTACACTGGTTGCTTAGAGTAGAGACCTGGCTGAAGGTGTTGCTTGTTTCATTACATGTGTTACACACTTTCCAGTAATCTATATCTGAATTTTGATTAAGCAGTAATGAGTGCATTGGGGCCTTCCCACAATCATTAAAAGTGTATGTTTGGGAACAAGAAGGAACTTTTTGTTCATTGAAGAATAATGGACAGTTCGTAAAGAAACTTTCAAAATGATCCCTTTTAGAAACTTGTCCTTCAGTTACGCATTGAATATTTTTCTGAGCTATTAAATGTTCTTGAGGTCTGCTGATGGTAAATTTTTCATTATGCATAGTCAGTTCTAATTTGTCTTGTCCTTTATAATATGATTTCTGACCTTCACTCTTACCTACATAGTCTCCATTTTTTTGTTGTTGTAAATAGTCGAGATTACAATATCCATATCTTCTCTTTATCACTTGCTTCAATAAATGTTCTAAGCCAGGCTCTGGTGATATTTCCTGAGTATGATGAGAGATCATGGCTGAAATAAATAACAATTACTTTACATATTATACTTGAAATATCTCTTGCTAATACAACATGAAATTATAGCAGTCAGGACATTAGCAGGGTGGTAGAATAGTAACATTAAAGGCCACAGTTACTCTGTAAATATATAGATTAAATAACAATGGATAGACAAAATTACTTTGTGAGAATTACCCAAACCATGGTGAGAGTTCACAGTTATTCACCATGAGTATATCATTAAGAAGAATAATGTGGTAGAGAAAAGAAAAGTATCCACTAGAAGTCTTCTCCTTGAGAATACACCATTGTACAATTAGGAAAAATCCACCCACTACCTTCTTCTCTCTCAATAGAAAAAGGATAATGTGAACCTTGAACAGTTCTGGCTTTCTTTGGAATTGTCTGAAAATCACTTTCTGTCTATCATGACACAGATCTGGATGTAAGAG